TAAAAAAAAAAAAAAAAAAAAAAAAAAAAAATGTTACTCAACAAAACAAAAATATTTATATAATTTTATTTTATTTTTATTATTTTCAGTAAAATAAATTTAAGTGATTTAAAAATAGGAAGATCACCAAATATTCATGAAATGTTTTTTTATTTATTAAATAATACTAAATGCAAAATTATTAAGTAAGAAAAAAAAAAAAAAAAAAAAAATTAATATTATGAAAAAATCTATAAATGTAACAATAAAGTTTATTCATGAGTATCTTTTTTTTTTTTTTTTTTTTTTTTCTTTTTTTTTTAGCTTGAATAATTGTAATTTAGGAAATAGTTTTTTAATAAATGTAAATAAAAATATTGAAAAACTAAATGTAAATAATTATTTAACTCTTTTGTTATTACAATATAATAAATTCAGTAATGAAAAGGAATTAGTTAATTTTTTAAATAATTTGATTTCAAAATGTAAATCAATAGATAAAATTAAAATATATTCAAATACTTTACATGAAGAAAATTGTGAAAATATATTAAATAGTATATCACGAAAAGAAATTGTGTCATTTCATCATACTTATGATCCATCTATGGATAAAAAAAACTTGAAAAAAAAAGTTTCTAAATTAAAAAAAAATAAAATTAATAATGACATTCATTATGATATTGCATTAACTGAAAACGAAAGAAATATAATTGAAAAATTTTTTGAAAAAAAACAGAATAGAGAAAGAAAACTAGAAAAAAAAGACTTTAAACTAAAAAGTCGTTATAATTTAATGGATTTGAAAAACAGGAAGATTAAATATAATTTTAAAAAGTAAATCTATTATTTTTTTTTTTAAAGAAAATTCCTTTTAAATACATTGTTTGAATATTTTGTAACAATTACCTAAAATTTTCTTAATATATCCTTTTTTTGAAATTATTTTACAATTTTTCTTTTTTGTATTTTTTAGTTACTATGTATATATATGAAATATTTTTTTCTTTTATATATATATATAGTCCTTTTTGCACCTAATTTTTTTTTTTTTTTCATATATATTCGATATATATTCTTATGTTTAATTTTTATTATAAAATAAATTTTTTATTTCACAGAATTACATATATGTAGCACTTAAATTTATATACATATATAAAATTTTTTATTATATCTTTTTTAATATATTATTTATTTTCTTTTTTGTAATTTTTTTTTTTTTAAATTGTATAATTTTATACAAGTGTATTCATTATATATGGCTAAGCTTTTATAATATACCAGAATAAGGGAAATTATTAATAAAAATAATAGAAAAAAATATTTTTATTCATTTCTTTTTTTTTTTTTTTTTTTTTAATGAGCACTAATTTTACATTTAAATGAAATTAAATATTTTATAATTGATCTTGAATATTTATAAAAATGAGTATGTATTTTTTTTTACTATTCGAAAGTGTAGTATTGCTGATTAATAGCGTTTTAATTATAAATGAAAAGAAGTTAAAAAAATATAAAAAAATAGATATCAGTTTAAATAGTAATGATATTTTCAATAATATTAAATTATTATTTTATACTATAAGAATATATTTTAAAATTCCATTGATATTTCTTAATTTTTTATGTATAATCATAGAAATTTTATTTGGATAGCATTAATATTATATATATATATAATATACATAAATATATATTTGTATTTGTATTTTTAATAATTATTTTTATTAAATATAAACATGATTTTGTAAAAATTTTTTTTTTTATCTATCATTATTTTGATGTATGCTTTATATCTTTTTTAAAAGTTTTTATGTATTGAATATTCTATTATTATATTTTTGTAAAAATAGTTGGCATAAAAAATATTATAACTTATTTAATGAAAATATACAAAGCTATTTTTTTTTTTTTTTTTTTTCTTTTCTTTTTTATGTTGATTAAAACTATATATTTTATATAAAATCATGAATAATTCTTAGATAATATTTGAAATTTTATATCTACTTTTTCTTTTTTCTTTTTTTTTAATTTTTATGATTTTCCTAATTTAGATAATATGACATCTACTTATATAAATGAAATAAGGAAAAAACAAAAAGAATATTTAAGTTATTTATTTGATAAATTTGAAAAATATTCCAATAAAAACTTTTTAAATAATTTATTAAATAAATCATTAAATGAAATAGCTTTGTATCCTTTTCAAGATATTAATGATAATGAAGTTTTAGATGATATTAATGATTTTATCAATGAATTAACAATTAATGCACAATATAAAAAGAAAAGTGTTTTTAAGCATTTATGTGAAAATTTTCTTAAAGGAGAATTTTATATTTATGATGAAAAAGATAGATATGAATTAAAATTTATCATTTTAAAATTATTATTTTTAATAAGTGAAAGTTCAAGAAATGAAAATACAAAAGAAATTGATTTGTTATATCTTAAATATTTTAATAAAGAAAAGGAAGAAGAAAAAATAATTTTAGATGTAAATGAACAAATTGCATTAGAAGATATAAATCATTTCAATATTTTAGAAGAAAAAAAATATTTGAAGGAGTTATATAATACTGATGATGAAAATACAAGATTTTCTTCTTCTTTAGAAGATGAAAATGAAATTGATAAAGAAGAAAATATAAAAGAAAAGAAAGATTATTTAAATAATGAGAACATTGAAATATCTAATTTTAAAAATGAACTAGAAAATAATAATATAAGTAATAATTTTAACAATTTTTATGAGACAAAATATAGTTATATAGAGAATTATATGAAAAACAAAAATGAATTAACATATGAAAATGTTATTAAAAAAATATCTGATTGTATTTGTAAATATCCACATTATGAAAATATAAAAGATAAAATAATAAGCAAAAATACTTCATTAAATAACAAAAATATTAATAATAATGTATCACATGGGAACCATAATAATTATAAAAATGAAAACATATATGAAAATAAAAGTAAAAATCATTTGACAGATTCAAACAGTACGTCTGATGAAGATATATTTATAAGTTTAAAAAAAAAACAAAAAAAAAGTAAAGACATATTTTTTAAATCGAAGCCAAGAGAGCAATATTTTTTTAATAATATTAATTTGTTTGATGAAGAGAATTATGAAAATACTGAAAATGAGGGAAATTTAATATATGAAACTGATATATACAATTTACATAATGTTTTTATGACTGATTTAAAAGATAATACGAAAAATAAAGGAAATATTAATAATAATATAAATAATAATAATATTTATAAAGATGATTGTTATAAATGTGATTATAAAGAAAATAAAACTAATGAAACAATAGAAAGAAAAAATAACAACGATAATAATAAACTAATTGATAGTTCATATAATAGCAAAATAATTATTGAAGAAAATAAGAAGCAAAATTTGTTAAGCGGAGTATATAAAACAAATAAGGAATGGAATAAAAGAAAAAATACATTTTTTGTAAGTGAGATTTTTATTATAAAAGAAATTTTAATGATTTTGTCTTTGAATTGCCCTATTAAATTTAAAGACAATTTTTTTACTAATTTCTCTAATTTTTTATTTAATAACATAATGGATAAAAATAAAATAAAAGATGATTTTTTATTTTACATAGAAATAGAAAGGAAAAATAAAAAGAATAACAAAAAATTAAATTCAAAAATTAAATATTGTGCTAAAATAAAAAAAATGATGAATGTTAAACTATATAATGTAGGAAAAAAAAGTTTTAATAATTATATTAAAAAAATGAAAAAAGTATGCATAAAAATATTTTATATCAATACCTTTTTCTTTTTAGCAAATAAGTTTAGAAATTTTTTTTTTTTTTTGCCATCCAATTTAAGCGATATTTTTAATTATATAATATATATAAGAGAAAATATTAATGATGAAAAAAAAAAAAAAAATTTTTTTTTTTTTTTTGATCAAATTAACATGAATAATGAAAATAAAAGTAATTTATATTATCAAGGAAATTTTTTAGAATCATTTGTAAGTTCATTAAAAAATATTTATAATGAATGGTTACGTGTAGTTGATATTTTATATAATTATCATATATTACTAATATTAAGACAATATAATATAGTATCTATAAATGATGAACAAATTTTGGAATTTTTGCAAAAAATAAAAACAATAAAAATCATAGATTATTTAAAATTAAGTCATTTTACTAATCTAAGAAAAAAAGAAAAAAAAGGAAAAAAGAAAATAAATATATATGAAGACATTACTAGTTTTAGATCATTAAGTTTGATTCATTTAAATCATATAATAAATAATTACCTTTATATGTGGAATAATTTGTATGATTTTATTAATTTGATTTTATCTTATTTATTATATAATATTAGTATAAAGGATTATACTTATTTCAATTATAATTATGATAATGCTAAAAAATTATGCATCTGTTATGACATGATTTTATTATACTGGAGAAACTGTCAAATTATGAATGACCAACCTTTAGAAAAAATTTTCCGATTTTTATTGAATGATTTAAATATGTATTATTCTAAGCATATAAATAATTGGATAAAAAAAGGAAAAATTGATGATAGATTTAATGAATTTTTTATCTTTTCCTTAAAAAAGGAAGAAAAACATAGTGACAGTCTTTTTATTAGAAAACAAAATGAATTTATATTATGTCCAGAATTTTTTAATTCTTTCATTTTCTCTTTAATAAGTTTAGGAAATAATATTCGTCTATATATGAAAATTAATAATGAAAATAATATAGATTATATTGATTATTATTTAAAAGAAGAAAAAGGAATAAAATGCTTTGAAGATAATGAAAATATCAAGTTAAATCTATGTGAAAATGACGATAATTATAATTTTATTTTTTTGGAAAAAAATAAAATTACAACAAAAAAGTTACATGAAAATACACTTAATTATTATTATAATTTAGAAAGTATAAAAAAAATTCAAAATACTTCACTTGATATCATATCTAAATTTTTGACAATGAATGAAAGTAAAAATCTTCCATATTTTAATAAAAATATTATGTTAATAAATATATCTTATGACTTGTATATTAAACAGTATTTTCAGGAAAAATTTTTTAATTTTTATGTTAAAAGTAATCGTATATTTCTGTATAGTTTAATGAAACATTGTTATCTTTTAGAATATTTTTGTTGTTTGCGTAGTTTAGTATTTTTAGAAATATGTGACTATATTTTTCCATTTTTTGAATTTGTTTTTAAAGAAGTATCTTTTCCTTTTATTGATGAAAGAAATATTAACTCTATATTTAGACAATGTGTTTATAATAGTAATCAAAATTTAAAGAAGCAAAATGCAAATTTTAATTATACCTGTTCCTCTTTTTTGCATAAAAAATTTACATTAATCCATATGAAAATATTATTATCAAAGAGTAAAAACTATAAACACAAAAAAAAAGGCAAAAGGAAAAGAATATTTAATGAAAATTACAGCAATATTATGGAAAAAAAAAATGTTAAAGAAATTAATGATATAAACACGAATGAGTCTTCTAGTAGTTCAAATTTATCTAATATAAATAAAAAAAGTTTATGTTTTAAGGATTGTAATCTATTTAACAATTCATTAGATGATTATGATAAAAATATCACGAAATTCAATGATTCTTACGAAAATTTCGAAGAAGAATCAAATTATCTTATTAAAAAAATTAAGAAAAAAAATAATGATAATGATAACTTTAATGATATTAATTATAAAAATTTAAGGAAATATACTATTTGTAAAGAATTAAACACTAATTTTTACACAGAAGAAATAATAACAAATATATTAAAAAGTTTTTATTTTAAATTAAAAGAAAACAAAATTTATAATAACAAAATTAATGTCATTAATTATAGAAATTTAATTATTGAAACAAAAACATCACCTTTTATAAATTTTCTCGTTGATTCTACATGCCTAGAAAAATATTCAGCTATATTTTCCTACTTTTTAGAAATTAAAAAATCATTACAAATATTAAATTTGGTTCATATATTTTATAAATATTTAAAAACTAAAAAAAATTCAAGTTTTGATAATTTTCACACTATTATTTTTTCATTATGCACATTGAAATATAAAGTTTTTTTTTTTCTGAATACTATCTATACATACTACCAATGGATGCTAAATTTTTCGTGGAATAATTTTATATTCAACTTATCAAAATCAAAATCAATAGATCATATAAAAAATAATCATCAATTTTATTTAAATTTTTTAATAGAAACTTTATTAGTACCTATATTAACTAACCATGAAGAATTATATAACTTTTATGTAAACGATGAATATAAAAAGAGTACTGTATATAAAGAATATGAAAAAATTTTTTTTAATTATAACTTAAATAGAAAAGAAGAAAACTGTGTTCAACCTATGAATTACAACATATACAACGATAGAAATATAATTAAAAATATGAGTAACTATGAAAAAGAGGATAATACTCCTGAAAATGACATATATAGAAATAATTTGAAAAAAAATTCTGATAGATTGCATGAAATTTCAATTAATAAGCAATTTTTATTGAATGAATTATTTTCTAATAATATTTTAAATTTATTATTCATACCTTCTCAAATATATGAAATTTTGGTAAAAATAAGTAAATTTTTGAATATTAATTTTGATTTAAATTTTGAAAATCCATATGATAATGCTTTTGACGAGGAAGAAAAAGAGGAGGATGAAGATGAAGATGAAAATGAAGAAGATGAAGAAATAAACAAAGTAAAAAATAATATAATGAATAAAAACAACATTAGTGATTCTAAACATATAGAAAAAGAACAATTTATTTTTTCAATAAAAAATGATATAAAAACACTTTTAAATGTATTTGAAATACATTTTTCGGAGTTTATGATGAAGTTAAATATTATTTCTTTTAATATAGAAGACAATAATTTTTTTGGACCAAATAAAGATTCTAAATTATTTAATCACATAATAAGATTAGACAAAAATATTTTAAAAAAAGTTTCAATTTTAGAAAATATGTTATCCTTTTATTCTTATAATGATCTAAATTACCTTAGAAATTAACATATATATATATATTTATACATATTTTTTTTGCATATAATTAGTATATTTTCAATTCTAGAAATTATTTGCATTATAAGAAACTTAAATATTTTGTTTTTTCTTTTTTTTTTTTTTTTGTAGTTTTTAAATCCTTTTTATTTTTTATTTCTTTTCTTTATATTTTCGTTATGTATTTTTAGAGGAAAATAAAAAAAAAAAATAAGAAAAATATATTGTTCATATTTTTTTAATCTTTGAAAAGAATTTTAAAATTAAAATAGTTTAATGAATATATATATATTCCAAGAATTCATATTAATATTAAAAAAAATTAATAGAATAAACAATTTTATATTTAAACTATGATAAAAAACAAAACAAAACAAAACAAAAAAAAAAAAAAAAAAAAATAGCATTAATGCAAATAAATCAATTAAATAGCAAAGACAATAAAAAAAAAAAAAAAAAAGTTTGGGTATGTTTTTAAAAAAAATAATTACATATAAATTAAGAAAAAAGCCAAATAACAATATTAATAGAATTTCTTTGAGAAAAAATAACGTACATTTAAATTACAATTTAAGAAAAGATTTAAATTTTATTCCTTTTATTTAAAAAACATATCAAGCATCCTTTTTGTAACGTAAAATCCACCTATATAAAAAAAAAAAAGAATTCATATTAAAAATTGATCGTCAGATGCATATACATATATTTTTCTTTTTATGATTATATTTTATATTGAAAATTAATAAATAAATAAAAAGAAAATAAAGTAATACCAGATAAATTGACAGCGGATAAAAACGTAGCTATTATTGATAAAATTGAGCTTAAACTTTTAAAACCATTTCCATATTCAATCATACTACCTATGATTATAACACCAGATAACTAAAAAAAAAAAAAATTTTTTTTACTTATATAGATATAATAAATTATTATTTTCATTCATCATACAAATAAAAAATATATTCTTAATTTTTGTTTTTAAATAATTTGCTGCTAACCGCGTTAGTTACGGACATTAATGGTGTGTGTAGAGATGGGGTTATTGACCAAACGCAATAATAACCAACAATTATTGATAATGTAAATAAAAATAAATGATGTAAATCGTATTGAGATAATATTACTCCTGCTAGTAGTGTGAGTATTGCTGCAAAAAATATAGAAATATAAAAGAGATAATCCGATTCAATAAACTTTTCTGTCAAACGTGTCCCTGTAGGATATTTAATTTTTTTTTTTGGAGAAGATTCTATGATTTCTCTTTCCTCATATGCAAATACACTTTCACTCTTAATTGACTTACTAACTAATTTGTTAGGTGAATATAATATATTTCCATCTTTTATCACAACTAATGATTTAATGATATCATTATTAATATCAACATTAAATTGTAATCCTCCTCCCATTTCTTCTAACAAATTTACCATATTCATTGAAAATAAATCAGAAGCCTGTAATGGCATATTTCTTTCTATTTTATCTCTTCCTAATATATGAACACCATTTATAATGATATTTTTGTTTGATTGAGAACATTCAATGTTTCCACCCCAATTATTTTCCTTATCACCAAATTCAGTAGCCAAATCTACCGCTACACTTCCTGTTTTCATTGATTTAATCATTTCAGTGGTTATTAACTTTGGAGAAGTTTTTCCTGGAATAAATGCTGCACAAATTAAAACATCACACTTCTTAATAATTTTTTTGAATAAATTCCTTTGAATTTTCATATAATTTTCACTCATCATTTTTGCATATATATCAGAATTATTTGGTTCATCAGTTGGTATAGGAACAAATATACCACCACAACTTTTCACTTCTTCTTCAGTTGATAATCTTGAATCATGTGCATATACAATCGATCCTAAACTTTTTGCTGTTATAATTGCTTGTAACCCCGCTACACCAGCACCAACAACAAAAACTTTTGCAGGGTTTATTTTTCCAGCTGCAGTGGAGGAAGATTTGCTAAATCGTGGTAAAATAAAAAAAGCCTCTAGAACAGCTCTATATCCTTGTAAATTGCTCATGGAACTTCTAACGTCTAATTTTTGTGCACGGGTTGATCTAGGAACTTCATCTATAGCTAGATATGTAATATATTTTTTTTTCTTATTTTCCACTATTTTTTCTAATAAATTTTGATTGATGCCTGGCCATAAATAGCTAATTAATATTGTATTGTTTGATATTTCATCTATAAAATTAATTTTTGGAGGATCTACTTTTAATATGATATTACTCTGTTTAAAAATAGTATCTCTTAAAGTTATCTCAGCACCATATTTAACATATTCTTCATTTTTTATTAATATATTTGCTCCTATATCTTCTTCTACTAATACACGAAAACCCATTTTTCTTAAATTAGGTATAAATTTGGGTGTAAGAGGAACTAAAGTTAAATTGACTTCAGTTTCTTTTTTGTCATTATCTTTTTTTTCTTCGATATCATCTTTTACTAGACCAATAACTCTTCTAGGTTTAGGATAATCTTCTTCTAATTTTATATCTTCTTCACTAGGTAAACTATCGACTATAGAATTCAGTGATCCATATTCCGCTTTTTCTTGAAAATTTTTTTTATCTTCTTTCGTAACTATAGGATGTTTATGACTTATATAATCATTTAAAATAGTCAAAATTTGATTAGTTGAATATTTAGCATCCTCAAAAAGCATAAGCGTATTGGAGTAATAAAATAATGGGTTATCAATGGCTGAATAACCGGGACTTAAACTTCTTTTTAAAATAATTACTTGCCTACTTTTCCATACTTCAATAACAGGCATCCCATAAATTTTACTCGAAGGATCTAAAGAAGAAGGGTTAACGATATCGTTAGCCCCAACTACTAAAACTATATCAGCATTTGATATTATTGGATTAATTTCATTCATTTCTTTGACAATATTATAGGGAATATTGGCTTCCGCTAATAGTACATTTAAATGACCTGGCATTCTTCCTGCAACTGGGTGAATGGCAAAATTTACTTCTATATTTCTTGATTTTAAAATACTACAAATTTCAGCTAATTCTCTTTGACACTTACTAACAGCAGCACCATACCCTGGAACTATAATAATATTTTTTGCATTTATTAAGTTGTCTGCAACGTACTTATTTGTTGTTGAATTTGCTAATTTTTTTTTTTCTTTTTCTTGTAGAGTTTCATTTGATTCTTCATAATCATCCCATCCTCCTAATATTATATTAAGAATATCTCTGTTCATCCCTACACACATAATGTAAGATAATATAGCTCCTGAAGAGCCAATAAGTGATCCTGATATAATTAATAAATTGTTACGAAGCAAAAATCCGCTTATAGCTGTAGCAAATCCTGAATAAGAGTTTAAAGCACTTATAACTACAGGCATATCTGCTGCACCAATAGATGCTATTAAATGAAAACCAAGAAATAATTCAATAATAAAAGAAGTATATAAAAAATTAGTTTTTAAGTATAAAGATTTGCTATTAACAAAATAATATCCTAATATTATAATAATAACCATACATGAAATATTAATTAACTTTTTTGTTTTTAATTTCAAAGATTTACTATCTAAAATTCCACTTAATTTTCCAGCTGCAACTAATGATCCAATAAATGTAATAGAAGCAATAAACGTTCCTATATATATCTCATTCAAGTGAATTGTACTCATTTCATAATTTTCAAAAGACACAGAATGGAATTTAGAAAATCCTACAAGTAGAGCAGCTAATCCAACAAAACTGTGAAATAGTGCAACTAACTGTGGCATTTGAATCATATTTACATTATGAGCAATATATAACCCTATAATAGCAGCTGGTATTACAATTAAAAAAAATAATTCGTATCTAAATCCAAAACCTACTTGGCTGAATGTTACTATAATTGCAGCTATTATTCCTATAAAACCCAACATATTACCTCTTTTTGACGTCTTATGATCGTTTAAACCTGTCAAACATAATATAAAACACAATGATGAAAACAAATACACTGCGTTTAACAACGATGGTAAGAAAGAATATGATGATAATTCAATATTATCCGGTATAACATTTTTTGCAATTTTTTCATAATTTTTATAACTATTTATATTATTGTTCGATGAAAAAGTAATAGTAGGTAATTTTATTTGAAAATTATTATTGTCTTCTGATTCATAAAAAAAATTTGGATTATTCCTTAAATTGGATTTAGAACAACTGTCTTTTATAATTAATAAATAAAAATTAAAAAGAATTAAACAGAGTGTTGTTCTCTTCATTTTTTTTTTTATATATCTTTGTCTTTAGAAAAATTTCCTATACCTTTGCAAAAATAAATATAATTACGTATTTATATAATTAGTTATTCCTTAAGGAATTAATAAATATATTCAAATTTTGTAAATAAAAAAAAAAAAAGAAAAAAAAAAAAAAAATATATATATATATATATATATTTAACAAAAGAAGAATAAAATTGACAAAAAAAAAATTAACAAAATTTTAATGTATTTAACAAACAACAAAATATTCATTCATTAAAAAAAGAAAAAAAAAATTAATATAGTTTTTCATATTTTTATCTTGATACCTTTTCTATTTAATAAAAGAAAATGAAGAAAAAAATACATTTTATTATTCATTGCTTAATATACATACATTTAAATATATACATATATATATATATATGAATGAACAACTTTTTTTGTTATAACTTAGTAAATCTATGTATATATATATAATTACAAAAATATACATAATATATTTTATTATATTATTCTTATATTACCTATTTTTTTTTATTTGTACATACACTTCACATTTTTAGCAACAAATGATTAGAGAAGATTTTATTATAATAAAAAAGGAGGGTAAAAAAGAAATTATAACATAATATAGGAAAAGACATATTACATAGAATAATTTGTTATTATGAATTATTTTACATATTACGAATATATATACAATGTATTTTACTTTATATATTCATAGAAATGATTCTATTATTAACACATATTTAAAAAAAATTTTTTTTTTCTATGAACAATACTTTATCAAGGTATTAAAAAACAATACAAGTTAAATATATATATATACATATATATTTTATATTCATCTTTATTAAATGATAACATCCTATATATTTTTTAAAATATATCTTCTCATATTAAATTTTTTTTTTCTTTTTTCTTTTTTCATATGATACATTTTTATGGAAAAAAAGTTAAAATTTAAATCTCTTTATATTTTTCAAAAAAATTCTTTAAATATTTACTAGAACTTGATAATTTTTGAATTAAATAATTATTTTTATCTTTGTTACTTAATTTATTCCATTTGTATGAAGGAATATTAATTACAACCCACCCACTTTTCTCTAGTAACCAGGTTTTAAAATATGTTGTTCCACACTTAATATACTGCCTGATTACACGAAATAAAAAAATATATATATATATATATATGTATAATTATATATATAAATTAACTTTATTATTTAGGAAAATAAGATGATATAACTTTATTAATAATTACTCTATTAATTATTTTCTTATCATTAATTTTTTTTTTTTTTTTACTTTTTTATATTTTGTGAGTTGGTATTATTTATGTCATCCAAAAGTAATAAATGGTGAGATGGTCCATCTACTTCAATTGCTATTTTATCTGGAAAATTTTCATTTTTTATTATTATGTCAATAGATAAAAAATCTTCTGTTATGTGTTCATTTTCATATTTTACATTGAATTTATCTAGGATATGGGATATTTGTCGATGAAAATTAGATATATTATTTTTAATGATATTTCTTTTTGATATATTTTTTTTTTTAAAGAGAAGAATAATTTTATCTTTGAATTGAAGAAAATTATTGGAAATCTCAAAATTTGAATCACAATATTTTATTCTTAACCATAAAATATATATCATATGCAGGTGCATAGCATTTTGCTCATCAATTTTTATATCATTCCATTTATATATATTTAAAAAATTTAAAAAATTTTGATTTATTAAATTCGCAACAGAAATACCCCAGAAAAATCTAGCTAATAATAAAAATGATACATTTTCATAATTTTGTAAAATTTTTATTTCATTAAAAATATAATTGTAAATTTTTTCAATAAATATTGAATCATTTTCACTGAGATTATTACTGATACTTTTTTTTTTTTCTTCTTTTTCATTTTTTATAATGTTCATGTTGCAAAAAGTAAAAGCATATGCCCAAGACATTGTAGCATATAATTCTGTAACCACGTTTAACTTAAAAAATTTCTTTTTTTTTTCTTTCTTTGAAAAATAATCATTTAAAGAAATGTTTAATAAAATAATTTCACCCATACTTTTAAATAATTTTTTATTATATACCTTTGATTTTATATAATATGAGAAAATAGATATAAAATTTTCAGGTATTACATTTTCATATATTTTATAATCTAAAATAAAATTAGTTATTTTAATTGAAAATAAAAATTCTGTTTTATGATAATAAGATAAACACCATAAAATTTTTCCTAGTAACTTTACTTCTTTTTCATTATATGAAAAATTTTGAATTTTTTTTAATGTTTCTCTTATAGACAAATTATACAAATTTTTATTTTCAATTTTCAGTAATGTAATAGCTTCCATGTAATAACATAAATTATAAAAGCTTATATTTTTATTATTTATAACTTTTTTTTCTGAATATTTTATTAATTTTTTTAGTGATAGTGGTATGTTATACTTGCAATTGTTTATTCTTTTTTCTAAATAATTATCATATTCTTTTTTAATTTTCATTTTATTTTTTTTTTTTTCAATTTCTTTTTCTGGATAACTATCCTCATATTTATGAAGGCAATATATACGAGCAAAGCATGGCAAAATAATGCATAAGCTTTTTATATCTAAGTCACTATATTTTTTTAATGTTGTATCGCATAATAAATCAAAAAATTTCTTATCAAAGCAGTGCATTCTATAACAATTTCTAATAAAAAAGGCTAACTGATCATGCTGAAAAATTTCAATAAATTTAAGCTTACAAAAATTGGAGGATTTATCGAATGTTTCATCTGAATCGTTACTTCTCTTATTTAGTTTAGATTCCTTTTCTTCTATATGTGTTCTAAGGTAAACATCAGAAATAATTTTCCTAGTTATTCCATCTCTTATAAAATCATTATTAATTTTTAGTTCTGCACATAAGTACGTAAATTCAACAAGATCTTTTACCTTGCAATTTTCCATATTTTCAACAAATTTTTTACAAAAAAAATTTTCAATACCGCATGCTATTTCGCACTTAGATAAAGCTCTTAATATAAAAGTAATATCTTTTATAGAAAAAGTAACATTATTAAAATTGTTTCTTTTCAAATAGCTTATTATATCTTCAGAGTCTTTAACGTACAAAAAAATAGAAATTAACAAAGTCATATTTTTTGAAGATATATCATTTAATATATTTTCTTCAATTATTTTTTTTTTTATTATGTTAAATATTTTCATTACTATGTTTATTTCTTCGGATAAAAGTAATTTAATCTCTCCTAATTCTTTCAATAATATTTTATTAGTATTTGTTTTTTCTGATAAAAATTTTAAATATTTAATGTATCTGAAATATGTCCATGATGTATCAATAAATAAATTTACAATTTTCTCCTTTTTTTTAAAAACGGAAAAAGTAAAATTATGATAAAAAGCAAAAATTTTAAATAATTGGATCAAACTCATATCACATTTTATATCATAAAATATAACAAAAAAAGAAGAAAATTTATAAAAAAAACTTATTACATCACATTTTCTAATATATTTAAAATGAGTATTAAAAAAAGAGAGCAAATCTTTATATATTTCTTGTAATTCATTGGGAGTATATTTCAAATTTAAATTTTTCATTCTTTCTATATACTGATATAGATTAATTACTATATCATTACTATTATTATCATTATTATTATTATCTATACATGAATAAGTTTTTTTTTTTGAATATACAATAAGACCTTGTTTATGCAAGGTTTCAGATGTTTCTCTAATCTTATCACTTTTATTATGGAAATTTGTTGAGAAATATCCCTTAGTATTTAAAAAAAAATAAAAAGGTATTCTATTTAAATTTTTATTTTTAATAGAGAAAATATTGAATCTATTATTATTATAAATAATACTGCTATTACTTATATTCCTATTAATATTATCAGTATTATTCATGTGTTTACATTTTTCATTTCTCTCATTTATAATTTTTTGTTCCTTTAGTTTTTTAATTCCATTTAAATCATTTGAGGAATATATTTTTTTATACAACAGAATATCAATAGATATATTCAACGGATTTTTATATTCAAGTATTGTATTTACATTTTTAGACCATTCAAAATTTTTTACTAGAAAAAAAATGCTTTTTTGCATATTAGATATTTCAACATTATTTTTTCGTTGGTTCATGTTTATTGATTTTTTTAGTATATCAAAATTATTCATAAAAATGTTGATATTGTCATTTAAGATACTCAATGAATTTTTTTCTTCTTTATTAAAATACAAATTAATATAAGTTTCGTCATCCAGTATAAACGACAAAAAAGACAAATAAAAATTGGTTAATATATGATAATTATTATAAATTCCATTCTCATTTTTTATTAAATTGTTTATCTTAATGAAACTATATAAAAACAATTTTGCTGAATAAATATACTTAAGACTCAATGACCAAATAATTATAATAATGTTTTCTAAAGTAAAAATGTTAACAGTTTTTGTTTCCGTTGTTTTTTTATTAATAGAATCAATACTTTTATAAATTTGGACATTTTCCTCTAAATTTTTTAAATTACACCTTTTCATAATTTTTTTTTTTAATAATTCATATAAAAGGATATTTTTTTTTAATAAATTTTTTTTTAATATATTATACTTGTTTTCATCATTCATATATAAAAATGGGCACTTGCATATACAAAATAAAAGTGTTATGAGTTCTTTATTTTTTAATGAATTAAAAAAAAGTTTTGTTTTTAACATATAATTTATTGTTCTTTCAAATAAATCAGCAAAAAATATATTTTGATTAGAATACGCTAATAACATATTAATTATAGATTCATAATTTTTTTCATTAATAATTTTTTTATATATTTTTTTTTCTATAATAAAATTTTTAATTTTCATGTAAAAATAGAAATTTGAGAAGTTCACATAAGAATAGGAATATAATAAAATTATAATTTCTTTTTTTTTTAATGAAGGAATAAGACTTAAGCTTCTTTTCCAGTATTTTTCATGTATTTCTTTATTATCTTTATTTAGTTTACTTAATGACCAAATAACTATAACATAACGAGATGGATTTAAAGATGATAAATATACGTTCGCATAGCGGTACAATAAATTAATATCATAAATATTAAATAAATAATGTTTATTTAAGTTGAATTCATTATATTTCCTTATAAATAATGAATTTTCCTTTTCTTCATTTGTTTTTATGTAATTTTTGTAATTCAAATCTTTGCACAAAGTGTGTTTCCTTTTGTTGCATTTATCATAATCTCTCAAAAACAAATTATTTTCATATATATTTTTATAACTTCTATTATCATTGTCTTTGAATGTATTTTCATTTTCTTCATTATTTTGGAAAAATTTTGTATTTTCATTTTTATTATTGCAGTTTTTTAAGTTGTTAAGTATATCTAGATTCTTCTTATTTTCATTTAAAAGGCATAAATATTTACTAAAAGACCATAAAAAAGAAGAAAACAAACGTTTGTTATAGTTATTTATTTTCTTTATATTTTTATTATCATTTAAATATTTAAAAAAAACTTTAATTTTTTCTTCTATTTCTGCATCAATGTATTTTTTATTTTTTAGGTATATTATATTGTTTTTATTTATTATTTGCATTAATCTATGAAAAAATGTTACATAATTAATTATATTAGCATTTTTTCCATTTACCTTTATTATTTTTATTATTTCAAGAACATTACTACTTTTTATAATTTCCTTATTTATTTTGATAGCCTTTAATGTATCTTCTTTTTTTATTGAAAAATTTTTCTTAAAATAAAACTCACATTTTTTATTTAATTTAATGGTTAAATTATATACTTTCAACATTAACTTTATGTGATTTATTTATTCATAATAATTTGATTTATATTTTTAAAAAATATCATATTATACATAATATTTATAAATTTTTTTTTTCTTTTATACATTGATGAGAATTTTTTCATATTAATATTATCTATTATTTTCAATAAGCTTTTTATGAGTACTTATTTTCAAAGCATACATCTATATAGAATAAATTTTTCCAAAAAATTAAATATTAATAAATATTTAGTTATTAATCATAAAAATTATATTTTACCTGATTATAAGAAATCATTAATAATTAAGCTGTTAAAGTATAATATAAATATTATATACTCTAAATGAAAAAGAATAATATTATTGAAAACAAAAAATCTTCTTAGTGTTTGATATAGTAGAAATTTATTTTTTTTATTCATCAATTTTGGATATTAAGAGATAAAAGAAATTTTAAAAGAATCAATGTTTGAATTATTTCATATTATTATGATTTAAATTTTTATTCCTTACTTTTAAATTGATTAAATTTTTATATTTTTCAATAAATAAAAAAAAAAAAAAAAACTACAACTGAATTATACTTGGGAATAATTTATGATACATTAAATGATGTGCTTAGTAAGCATGTTTAAGAAGATTTATGTAATTTAATCATAATATAATGATTCGTTTCAAACTTAAGTAAAATTAAAAATTATAAGTATTTGTAAAATTCTTTTTGATAGAAACTAATTATATAAAAGAGTTTAAATATAGAAATATAAAAAATAAAAATTTATATTGTATTATCTTGTATTTACTTTGCGGCATAATTTTTTAAAAATATAGAAAATTAACAAAATAACTACAATTTATTTTTTTATTACATAATAAAAATTCTACTTTTAGAATCTTATATACAAAAATGTAACAATTTATATTCAAAAAATATCAAAGAATTTTTTAAGCAAATGGTACATTTAAAAAAATCCTTATTTTTTATAGATAAAAAGAAATCCTTAAACACTTAATATTTGTTTTTTCTTAACTCAATTCATACACTACCTTATAAAAAATTAATATTTAAATTTCCTTTTTTTTATTTATATCTTTTATTATCATAATAAAGTTCATATATAAAAAAATATTGATATTCTTTTTTTATTTTAATTTATATTTTTTTTTTTTTTACAATAACTTTTATAAAGATGTAAAGAAGCTATTCAAAATTATTAAAAGACGTAAATGATTACACCTTTAAGTTTTCTAATGTAAAATAATTTACAAAATACAAAAAGTATTTCCATATATATTATTCAAAGTTTTAATTAAAATAATTGGCATGTAATAATATTATAAATATTTCGAAATATTTCATATTTTTATTTCGGTACAATTTATGTTTCATTTATTTTCAATATTCATTGATTTTATAAACAAATTGCATTTATATAAATATGTTTAAGCAAAAATTATTTTTTTGCTAAAGAATATGTATTGTAGAGTACAAATTTAAAAAAAAAAAAATGCAACTTTAATTTTATTTTGATAAAGTACTAATCAGAAGAATTTTAAAAAATTATAATTCAACTATATGTTGTTTTAATCTTTTTTTTTTTTTTTTTTTTTTTTAATTNTTTTTTTTTTTTTTTTTTTTTTTTTTAATTATATATTTTACTTATATCTTCTCATAATTTCATGCTTTTAATAATTTAATTTATAGAAGGAATTTTTTTTTTTTTAAAGTATGAACTACTAACATCATACTATTATATTTTAAGATACGAAAAAAAAAAAAAAAAAAAATATAAATGGTGAGCATGCCAATGCAAGTTCTCTATTTTTTTTATATATATATTTAAAAAAAAAAAAAAAAAAAAAATATATATATATATATATATTTGAATTATTAAGAACATTCACAAGAATTTCAAAATTCCTATAAGCAGATAAATACAAATTTTTTTTTTTATTTTGAAATAAAAATTACAATTTTGTCAGTGATACAAAAATAAAAAAAAAATAAAATAAAAATTAACTAAAATAAATTAAAAAAAAAAAAAATATATATATATATATATATATGTATATATATCCCAATATATTTATATATTACAGTATTATATTTATTTATAAATAATTCTTAATTTTTCTCAATTAAAAGTTTTTTTCTTTTACAAAAAGTTAAATCATAGCCTAAAAATAATTAATATTTTCCCCACTTCTTTTTTATTTAATATTTTCAATAAAAATTTTTAAAAAATGCCGTAAGTTTAAAAGAAAAAAAGGATAATATTAATTTTTATTATTTTTATCTTACATAAATTTTTTTTTGGAGTTATTAAATTATATTACTGATTCATATCATCTACATTTTTTATATATAATGCACTTTTTTGTATTATACAGATATGTTTATATATGTAATTTTATAAAATGAACATTTTTTTATTTTTAAATAAAGTTTTTTTTCCATTTTATAATTGCTTTGCATTTACAGAATTACATTGAATAAATATATTTTAGAATGTTATTTCTTACGCAACATATAGAACTAATTTTATATCTTTTATATTATAAATTATTTTTTAATTTATGTTTAATTTATATACGTTCATATATATTATTTTCATATTTATATGTATATTTTTAATTTTTTAGATTATATCCAATAGTTTTGTGGGCTCAAAAAAAAGAGTGCATTTATTTAACTATAGAATTACAAGAAATAGAAAATGTGAAGATTGACCTTAAAGAAGACAAGTTATATTTCTTTGCCACGAAAGATAAAAATGAATATGAATTTACTTTAAATTTTTTAAAACCAATAAATGTTGATGAATCTAAATATAGTACAAAAAGAAATATAAAATTTAAAATAATAAAAAAAGAAAAAGAAAGATGGAAAACAATAAATAATGATGGAAAAAAACACTGGATTAAATGTGATTGGAATTCATGGGTTGATACTGATGAAGAAAATAAAACAACTGAATATGATGACATGGCAATGAATAGTTTCGGTGGAATGGGAGGTATGCCTGATATGAGTCAACTAGGAAATATGGGAGGAATGGGAGACTTAGATTTTAGTAAATTAGGTAATATGGGTGGTGATGATATGGCGAACTTTTCAGGATTAGGTGGAATGGATCAATTTAAAAATATGCCAAACATGAATAATATGAATGATGACGACTCTAGCTCATATGGTGATGACTCAAGTGAAGAAGATGACGATGATGAAGAAGAAGATGATGATATAGATAATAAAAATACTGAAGAAGAAAAAAAAAATGAATGCAATGATTCTAAGTGTAATATTGAAAACGAAAATAGAAATGATTCAGAAAATAAAATTCAAGATCCCATTGTTGAAGTTCAGGAACCTGTGGCTTAATTTTTAAATATATTTATTATATATATATTTATATAATTTATTTTTTTTATTATATATATGTGTTTTTTTATATTCCAATAGAATATAATATTTTATTTCAAAAATGAGAAATAATGACAATTAACGCGCAATATATATCAATATTATGAAACTCTCTTTTTATTTAATATTTTTTATATTTATTTCATAATAATATATTTTTATAAAATGAAAGTTTTTTTTTTTCTTTATTAAAAAGAAAAAAAAAGTTCTTTTAGTAAATATTATAACTTAATGAACAATAATATCTTTAAAAAAAAAAAAAAAAAAATTAAATAAACAATATTTATATAAAAAAAATTGAGAGAAAAAAAGTAATAATAATGTTTATGAAAAAAAAATTTGTTATATAAATATATATGTATTTTATATAAATTTCTAAAATATAACATCAATATTTATATAATATATAAATTTATATGTTTATATAATAAATCTTTACTTTTTATTTATTTTTTTTTTTTTTTTTCATCAATTAAAGAGGTAAAAAGAAAATCCTTTACATGTTATAATAATGTCTTTTCATTATTTGTATTTTAGACTACTATTATTTTTTCATAAGTATAAATATTTATAAAGGTATTAAATTAGAGAAAATAACAATTTCCTTTGTGCAAAACATTTCTGAATCACAAAAAATAATTTTATTTTTTTTTATGACCAGTTCATATTATTCTTTCAAAAAATATTTGTATTATTATATGTGCGTTATAATATTTTTCTAAATATATATAAAAATATCTTTCAGATTAGAAAAATCAATTATTATAATTAAAAATGAGTTGCAAATAAACCTTTTGAAGAAATGTCATTTTCACTATATATAGTTCGTAATAATTTTTTTACTAAAATCATAAAAATTGGTATAATATTTTAATAATTTTTTTTTTTAACATAGAATTTTATGAAAAGTACAAATTTATTGTTTATTAAAATTATTTAAGATACATATATTAACCCAACAAAAAAAAGGTAAATTTTTATCTGAATAGAAGAAAAATTCTAATAGAAAGGTGAAAAGCTATTTTTTATAATATTGTTCATATGTATTGAAAAACTAATAATATTTTTCATTTTTTTTATTAATATATCTGTATGTACATATGATATATTATTTTTTATATGTTCTAAAATTGTCTTTTTATTTTTACTTGTAAGTTATTTTAAACCATAAAGATTATTTTAAAAATAATATAATTTTTTTTTTTTTTTTTTCTGCTTGCTTTTTATACATTAACATTATTAGTGACAAAAATTCTTACCATTAAGCAAATAAGCATAATATTTTTTATATATTATGTTAATTAAAAAAAAGTAAATGAACAGTAAAATTTTTGGATGTGAGTATATAAATATTTATAACACATTTATTTATCATTTAAAATATATAATTAATGTAAAGGAGATATGTTACGGCTATAAATTATGCTAACTACAGAAAAAAGGTATGCTATCAGCATTATAATATTATTAAATTATTGATAATTAATCATATATGTAAATTATAAAAAAATATATTTTTTTTTTTTTCTTTGTTTTAAAAACAATTACATAAGAAATAAAAATTTTTAAAACGTATATTTTAAAACTTTAAATAATATGAATGTTGTATAAATACTATAAATTAAAAGACGCACTTGTATTTTAAATGAAATGGATCAAATATTGAATTTAAATATTAACTTTTTATATTTTCGTGTATATATAAATATAAATATATATATATATATAATAAAAAAATAAAAATTGAATTAGTAGAATTAAATTATATCTAACAAATTATCATCATAAAAGGAAGATTTTCTAACAAATTCAGGTGTTTGTGTATAGTTTTTACCATAGTTATAGTATTTCTTTACAAGACCAAAAACTTCTTTCGGCCCTGAAGATCCAAATGGATATTTTAAAGGTTTTATTTGTTTTTCCTGTAGTTCATTTAATAAGGGAGTAAATATCCTCCAAGATTCGTATAATTCTTCATCTGAAATAAATTTTTTTTTATAACCTTTAAAACACTCTAATAGTAACGTTTCATATGCTTCTGGAACATTAATTTTTTTATTTTTATCATTAACTGTTAAATTTAATTGAACCTCTTCCATTTCATCACATCCTGTTTTTTTTATCATCATTTTTAAATATATTGCTTCTACAGGTTGCAAAATAATTACAAATTCATTATTGTACATATTTTCATCAGAGGATCCCATAATATTATGAAATTGAATTCTTATTTCACAAATATCTTTATTTAATCCTTTTCCAGCTTTAAGTATTATAGGAACTCCATACCAATTAATAGAATTAATATATAAAATACAAGTGCAAAATGTAGGAGTAATAGAATCCGGTTTTATATGTGGATCATCATGATAACTGTGATTTCTTTTTGATTCATCGATGTTTTCATCATTTCCATCTGTTTCTTTATAATTATCTGATTTTACGTATTGTCCAATAATTGTATCTTCTAATTTTATAGAAGGAATACATTTTAATATTTTAATTTTTTCATTTTTAACTGATTCATCATTTAAATGAATTGGGTCTTCCATAGTTATTAATGTTAATAATTGTAACATATGATTTTGCATTACATCTCTTATAATTCCATATGGATCAAAATACTGACCTCTTCCATATATTCCCTTCGTTTCCTTTAATGTAATTTTTATGCATTTAATAAAATGTCTATTCATTAAAGATAATAAAAAAGTATTAGTAAATTTTAATTTTAATAACCCTGAAACCATATCCTTTCCTAAATAATGATCAATTCTATATATGTATTGTTCATTGAAGTTTTCTAATATTTGTTTTGATAAAATTTTAAAAGATTCTAAATCATTTCCAAAAGGTTTTTCTAATAATATTTTGTCTGTACCGTTATTATTTAAACAATGCTTCTTATAGTTTTTTAATGTACTAACAAAAATATGAGGTGGTAATGCTAAATACAACATTCTATTTATAACATAAGAATAATTTAATGCTATATTTTTCTCTTCTGATAAATCTACTGATTTATTCGTTATTTGCTCATTTCTTTTATTTTCACTTATATTTTCTTTTTCAACATTATCATCCTCTCTTTTATGATCACAACATTCTGATTTATAATAATAGTTATTATTATTTAATATAGCTTCCTGTTCTTCTTTGTTCAAATATTTATTAAAATTTTCAAAATCTTCTGAACATGAATAATTTCCAATATAATACCTACACCTATTTTTAAAGGAATTTAGAAGATTTTTTTTTTTACAAATAGAAAAATCTTCATAGCAATGTAAACACTTTTTTAGGTTTATAACTATTTTATCAAAAAATGTTTCAAAATCTTGAACTGTTCTTGCAAAACCAATGATTAATACATCTTTTGGTAATAAATTATTACAGTATAATTTAAATAATGCTGGATATATTTTTTTTTTTGCTAAATCACCTGAACATCCGAATAGTATTATTGTTAATAATTCTTTTTTATTCAAATTACTTACCTGCATAGATAAAGAATTATTTGAATTATATATTTCTTCAATTGTTTTTGTATAATTTTCATAACCACATGATATTACAGTAGTATTACCAGTATCAATTAAATAAACAGCTGGATACAAATTATAATTAACTTCTATATAAGATTTTAAAAGCATCTTTTTCCATAAATCTAATTTTTCTTTTGAATTTAATAAAAAAATTTTGCTTGATGCATTCGCTAATAGTTCTAATGATACTGTAATTCTTTTCCTAACATCAAAATTATTTGTTGTAGTAAAATAAACATATTCATTTAATAACTTTAAATTGTCATTATCGTTATCATTATTTAATAATTTTAAAAATTTTTCCTTATATATATAACTATTCTGATAATTATTCATATATATATTATAAAATATGTTTGGGAATAAACTAGCAATATGAAAATCATTTCCCATTCCTAATATTGCAATGTCTACTTTTTTATATTTTTTCATCATTAATTTTATTTTCTCATTGTAATCTAGTACGCAATCAACTATATTTTTTGTTGTATCTGGTTTAAATAGTTGTTCTTTTTTATTTATATTTAAGTCATCGAATAAAAATTTTATATTATTATAGTTGCTTAATTTGTGATCATCACTTTTATATCTTTCATCAATCATAAAAAAAATTAATTTAGTTCTATCTATCTTAATATCTTTAATTAATGATATGTTTTTATATACATCTATAGGTGTTTTTCCTCCTGATAATCCTATGACTACATAACCATTTTCATTACTTAATTGTTTTTCATGAATTTCTTTGCATATATAATATGCAGATTTTACATTAAAATCATTTAGATCTTTTGTTTCCATATATTTTACATTGTGCAAATAGTCCATTTCTTCAACCATTTTTAAAAAATTTTTATAATCCATTTCCTTAAAAATATTATATACTTTTAAATATGGAAAATGAAAATTGTATTATATAGATGTATTATTTCAATTTTTTACTTTTAAATAATTAATATAAGTTATTATAGTTTTTCAATAAATTATAACGTAGAAATTGCTTTTCTTTTTTTTTTTTTTTTTTTTTTTTTTTATCTTAATAAATATATGACATTTTTCAATAAATAATAACTTTTATGTATTTCCATATAAGTGTAATTATTAAGTTGGATAAAAGTTTATAAAACTAAAAGTTTATAGAAATTACTTTGTATAATGTTTTTTTTTTTTTTTTTTTTTCTTGTTTTTTTTTTTTATTCGTGTTTTATAAAACTTTGTATAGATTTATGTTTATATATTTAGTTATTAATAGCACGTTCTTATATAAATAGAAAAAAAAAGAATAAACATTTTATAATATACTCATTTAATCTTAAATAATTTAAATAAATATTTCTTTAATTTTCTTATATACAGTTTTATTAAACAAATTTGATCATTTATAATTTATTTTCTTTATTCTAAATTAAAATGTATTCTTTTTGCTTATTTTGTTTAGAAAAGAATCAAAAGAAAAGGAATAAATGGATAATGCAAAAAAAAAAAAAAAAAAAAAATAAAATTTTGAATAAAATTAAAGCTATGAAAAAAAAAAAGAAAAGGATATAAGAAAAAAATAAAATAAAATAATCCCTAAATATTTTATTTATAAATTCAAAATATTAATATATGGAAGTATCGAAAAAAAACATTTTCTTGTAAACGTATGTATGCACGCAAAAGAACTTGAAATTTATCAAAATATTTATATATATATATATATATATATATATGTTTTTTTTTTTTTTATTGATATGTTACGTTACAGTCTCCTTTAACATTTTTTTATTTTTTAAACATGAGTAGTATTTCAAATAAATTTCAATTGTTTTAATTCGTTTTATGTTAAAAAAGATTGAACATGACAAATAATACTTTTAAAATTTTTAAATTGTTTATAAAAAAATATAAATTTAATCATTAATTAAATAACAATTATCGTAAATTTCTATTAAACATATTAAAATTAAGTAAAGTATATAATTTCAATTTTTTATTTTAAATTATTTTTGTTCTAATATATTATTTTTTTTAATGTATAAAATTTTTTATTTAAAAGATGTTAAATACAAAACAAAAAGAACATAAGGAAGAAAAACCGCATCAAATATACTATAAAATAAATAATGAAACTTTATATATATATAATAACAACATAGAATATAAAAATAATAATAATGATTCTCTAGATATTAATAAAGATTCATCTATATTAAATGAGATAAATCCAATAAACAAGAATAGGAATGAAATAATTTTAGATTTAGATATTCAAAAAAAAAAAAGAAAAAGATGTGAGGAAGTGAAGAAGAAAGCTAATAATTACAATGAAAATTTTGATGATTCAGAAAATAGTAATGGAAATAATTTTAATTATAATAATGATAATAATATAAAAAATAAAAATGTAAATGAAACAAAATATTTTGAAGATTATGAAGAAATAAAAATTGAAGATAAAGTAGAACAACAAAATAGTAACCTACTGAAAGTCAATGAAGCACAAAATATTTTTGATGATTTTTATACATTATCTGAGAGCGAAGATGAAAAAACTATTTTAAATAAAAATGAACAAATTAGTGATGATGTATTAAGTGAAAATGAATCAGTTGAATCGACATCAAACAATTATGGGAAATATAAAGACATAAATCCAGAAGAATTAATTTCTTTGTATGAAAATGAAAATAGCATAAATGAAAAAGAGCATGATAAGGTTAAATTTGATGAATATTTAGATCAAAACTATAAAGGTCAAATAATTATTGATGGAAAAAATGAAGTTGATGAGTTTTTACTTGTTTCAAGAATAGCTTACTATGATTTAGTTAATAAAAATCAAGAAGAACAATCAGAAACGAAACAAAATAATTCTGTAAATTTTTTAAACAAAAATAAAGATGAAGGAAATTGTTCAAGTAACGAATACTCAGATTCAGATGATTCAGATGAAGAAAATGAAAATTTTAATTATCATTTCAAAAGTAATGATAATGAACAATCCATTAATTCTACTACATATTTGTCAAATGATGATAAATTAAATGATAATAAAAATAATGATAAAATAAAAACGGAATTAAATAATGACGAAGATCAAAAAAATGAGGAAAAAAATGAAAAACATGACGATGAAAAGGATGATATAAAAAATGTAATAAAGGAAGAAATCAAAAATGAAATAAATTACGAGATAAAATATGAAATAAAAGATGAATTAAAATATGAAATAGAAAATGAAATTAAATATGAAATAGAAAATGAAATAAAATATGAAATAGAAAATGAAATAAAGTGTGAAGTAAATAATAAAATAAAGTATGAGGTTAAAGATGAAGTAAGATACAAAATAATGAATGAAATTAAAGATGAAATAAAAAGTGAGATTAAAAATGAGATTAAAAATGAAATAAATTATGATAAAATAAACAGTGAGAAAAACAACTCCTATTTAAACCATAGTGAAAAAACATATTCAAAATGTTTAAAAAACTTAAATGAAGGACATATACCAGAAGAAGCTAAAGTAATAAAAGAAAATGAATTTGATATATGTGAAAATAAAAAAGCATATCACATGTATAATCGAATAAAATTAATAGGAGCACCAGAAAGTGTAAAAGAAAATATAAAAATAGAAAAAATTGGTAAAATGATAAAATTTGAAAATGATATATTGATTATTCAATCTACTAATTTTGAATATAATTTAAGTATTGGTTCAGTTTTATGTCTAGAAAATCGTAAGATAATTGGTTGTATTATTAACTTAAATTCAAATGAAACAGAGGTATTTTATTATTCAAAATTAATTTTTCCTAATATTAAGGAGGAATTAAAAGAAAACATAGATATTTATGTTGATTTAAAACATGCTTTATACATGAATTTGGGTACAAATGTGTGCTCAGAATTATTTAATGTGTTAAAAAACCCATCAATACCTTACGTTTTTATTAACTATAATGATTTATATAATATTGCGGATACGCAATTATGTGAAAAAAATAATAATAATAATAATGAAATTTCTAACAAAGTGGTTAATAACATATCTGGTTTTAATGGAAAAAACAAAAATGTAAAAACTGTTTATATAAATAAAAATATAAAAAAATATAATCCCTATAATTATAGAAATCATTATAAAAAAATTTTAAAAAGCTATAATTCACATAAATATAAAAAAGCAAAAACTTTTGTTGATTCTTCTTATAAAAATATGAGTTATAAATTTAAGAATTTATCCTATAAAAACATAAGTAATGTTAATGAAAGCATTAATTCAAATAATAATAGTCACAATATTTTTAATAGTAACATAAATAATAATACATACAACAGTACATATAATAACTTAAATACTATAAATGGTGTGAATAATTTGAATAACATAAACAATTTGAACACTATGAATAATATAAATAATAGCACTACTATGAACATTATGAGTAATATAAATAGTATTAACAATGTTAATAATTTAAATATTGTCAGTAATTTAATGAACAAAGGTGTTAATAATTTGTCTATGCATAATTCTAATATTCAGTGTAATTATAATCATTCATATATAAACACAAAATTCAATAAAAATTTCATAGGTAACAATCAATTAAGTATTTTTAGTAACACAAAAGATATATCTAGACTATCAAATGATATGACAAATAATATTCACAACGTATATAATCAAAGTGTTTACAAATTTAAGTTAAATAATACACTAAATAATGCGAACAAATATAACTTAACTAATAAAATGAAAAAAAATATTCTTAATAATTTTACAGGAGTTAATCAAAATTTTCATTCTAATTTAGTAATTAATAATAACAAAAAATTTAACTCTTTTTTCACACCACAACCATATAATATATATAATAAGTATAACCCTAAAATATTTAATGGGATTAAATTTAATAAGAGCGATTATTTCACAAATTTTAATTCAAACAATTACAATAACCATTTCTATAATTATAGCAATGTAAATTCAAAAAAAAAAATTATAAATATAAATAATATTAATGAAGGCAAAAAGTAACATATTTTTTTTTATCATTTTTGCATATATCGCTATATTTTTTTTATTTGTAGATTCTATATTATAATAATATATATCGCTCTATATTTTAAATATTTATATATTTTTTTATTGTGTTTATAAATATTTTAAGGTAGTTTATTCTTTTTGTAATAATATTTATTAATACGTATAAATTTTTAAATATTATTTTTTTCTATTTAAATATTTAAATTGTTTCTTCTTTAAATATTTTTTTTTATTCTATTTTGTTTTATGACTTTTTTTTTTATTTTTTTATTTTATTACATAATACTTCATAAAAAAGTTTTATAAAACAAAAATTAATATAAATGCTTTATAACTATAAATAAATGTTTATACTAATACGTAGGTAATTTTTTTGTTTTTAATTATTTTATACTTTTTTTTTTTTTTTTTTTGAATAAAATTATAATTCTCCTTTTTTTAATTTTTTGAAGCAAAAAATAATTTAAATAAAATAATACATAACAATTTATATTATATAATCACAAATGTTATGAGGATATAAAAAAAAAAAAAAAAAAAAAGAAAAAAAGTATATTGTGTATTAATATATTTCATGTAAAAATAATTATTATTTCTTAAATTAAAAAAAAAAAAAAAAAAAAGAAAAATTTATTCAGATAATAATTTAATATTATATATATATTTTACTTTCTATTATTTTTATTAAAATAATTTAAACTCCAATATTTCAAGTTTGTTTTTAATAGGCTTTTACAAGTATATAAAGTATAAATTTGTATATTTTTTTTTTTTTTTTTTTTTTTTTTTTTAACATTGTATAATTTGTAAGTAAATGTATAATTTTTTTTTTAATTCTATTTGATTTAAAAACATAAGCTTAAAAAAAAAAAAAAAAAAAAAATGGATAGCTTATATGGTGATTTACCTCCTCCAATATCTAGTAAAAATTTAGGAAAGAATGAAAACATAAATACTTTAAGTAAACAAAAAAATTATATTGAAATAAATAAAAATATAATAACCCCTGTGGTTGTCCAAAAAAAAATTGCAAATATAAAAAATTTAAACAAAAACATAGATCATAAAAATTCTGAAAATGAAAATGATATAAATAATTTAAATAGTGAACTTAAAAATAATAACGAAACAACGAAAAATGTTAAAGTGGACAATAAACATTTAAATAATCAAAATTTAAAAAATGATACGAAAATAGAAATAATAAATATAAATAAATCAATTCAAGACGATTTAAAAAAAATAAGTGATAGATTAAATAAAATACAACAGTGTAATAAAAATGAACATACATTAAGTAGTAATGTAAATAATGAAGAAAAATCTAATACAAATATAGAAATAAATTTTAAGAATAAAATTAATGAAAGAATAACAAATAATTTAAGTGAAAATAATATAACAAATAATTATATTAAAAATGAATTATATGACAAATATTTCATTACAAATGTAAATGAAGATTATGATCCTAACAAACCTAATGACTTAAACAAAATAATAAAGGAAAGAAAAAGGAAGAAGCTTATTATGCTAGCTGAGAAAAAGAAAAAACAAGAAATAGATCAAATAGAAGAAACGAAAGAAAAAGACAAAAAAACATTAAAAGATTTTGAAAACAATAAAATATATAGATATAATGGAAGTAATACAAGTGAGTATTTATTTGAAATGGAAGAAAAACAAAAATATAAAAAAAATTATATAAAAAATGAATTAAAAGATGAAAAAAAGAATGAAGAGGAGGAATACAAAAAATGGGAAAGAAAAAATAAAAAAGGACAAAGTTATAGTGAAAGTGAAGATGAATTAAAAGATAGAAACGAGGAAAAGATAAGAAAAAAAACTAAACAAAATACATATGATGATAATATATTAAATGTAAAAGGTGAAAATGGTGATTTGTTGAATAAAAATAAAGAAAAAACAAATAATTTAAATGATATTAAAAAAGAAGAAACAACTGTAAAAAAAGATTTTGCTACAAGAATGATGGAAAAAATGGGATGGAAAAAAGGTGAAGGGTTAGGAAAAGATAAACAGGGAATTAAAGCTCCATTAATTTTACAAAAGGTTGATAAAAGAAGTGGTGTTATAATACAAGCACCTTTAATTTTAAAAAATAATGATTTAAAAAATGAAAGTAATCCTTGTGAAAATAAATATTCTTCATACGCAATTAATAATAGTTGTACTAGAATTATTGTTTTAACTAATATGGTGACAGTTGATGAAATTGATGATACATTAAAAGATGAAATTGAAGAGGAAGCATCAAAATTTGGTAATTTATTAAATATAAATATTGTTGTTGATAAAAATTCTCAAGATGCCCTTGCTGTTAAAATATTTTGTGAATATGAATCAAAAGAACAAGCTAAAAATGCAATGAATACTTTTAATGGTAGAATATTTGCTGGTAGAAAAGTAGATGCTTCTTTTGTAAATGAAAATGAATATTATTCAAATAATAAAAAAAATTAAATATTTTATATTAAAATAAAAAGAAGTTTTAAAATTCTGATATACATATATTTATTTTTTATTTTGCAAACTATTTAAATGTGTTATTGATGTTCATATATATTTAAAAATTTTTTTTTATGTTAATACTTTTAAATGAAATTTTTTTATTTATATATTGAAAACATATATTCCTTATAATTTTTTTTAATATTTTTTTAATTTTAATTGAAACTATTTTATTTTATTTTTTTATGTAAAAAAACATTTTATTTTTTAAGGTTTTCAATTTTTTTATATAAGTAAAATTCATTGTTTTTTTATTATGTTTAAAGTTTAATTATTAAAAATGTAAATTTTTTTAAAATAATATAAATTTAATCATTATTTATATATATATCAAAACATATGTATATATTTACTGATATACTAAAAATCCTGTAAAAATCAAACATTCAAGAAAAAATATAAAAAAAAAATAAACAGAAATTAAAGCTTTAAATGTAAACTGAATAAATTCGTTTTTTTTTTTTTTTCAATGATACTTAAAAATGTTAAACGTGAAGTTGTTTTTAATGATTTAAATAAATATTTTATTGTTGTTGATGGATTTAAATATGGAGCAGATTACATTTTGTATAAAAGTATCTATAAATATAAATATATATTATTTAAATATACACATATACATTTATACATATTTATAACATTTGCACAATTTATTTAGATAGCATTGGACATGAGCACGGATTTGCTTTAGTTTTTATAAAAGATAACGTGATTTTAAATGATAAAGAAAAAATTATAATAGTTAGAATATGTGAAAGTGTTAAAAAAAAAGTAAATTATAGAAAAATATAAAACATTATCTTTTTTAATAAAATACTTTATATTAGAACTTTATTTTTTATTTTTCTTATTTACATAGGCTATTATTGCATATGTTAATGAAGAGACTTTGGAAATTAGATATGAGGAAATATATAGGAAATAATTAAAAATAAATAAAAAATAAAAAGTACAAAGGAATGCCACTTTTTCAATTTTTGTCAACAAAAAATTCTACTAATGCATATTATAAAAAGACTAATAAAAATTTTATACATAATATATATTATATATATTTTCTTTTAGTTTTATAGCTAAATAGAAAAATTGTCTTACAAACTAAGTAAATAATAAAAATAAAATTTACAGCATATTTTATTTAAATAAGTTATTAAAAAAAGAGGTTTATAATTTAATTTTATTATATGAAAAAATTGAAACATTAATTAAAATGAAATTTTTTATAAAAAGAGAAATGCAAAAATATAAATATTATTAAAAAAAAAGTATAAAAAATAATAATGAAAAAGAAATTAAATAGGTTTATACAAGAGAGATTACTCAAAATATTTATTATAAAAGATTAAGTAAAATAGCAAATAAAATACATAGTAAATATAAAATAATATTTTAATCATAATAGTAAATAAAACAAAAACTAAATAGTAAAAAAAGTATTAATTTAAAAACTATATTAAGAGATAAATATATATTCATAATTTATCTTAAAAGTTCTATGCTTGTAAATTGAAAGTTATAATTTTATCTTTTATTGAAAAATTTAACTTATTTAATAAATTTCCTGTATTCCTATTTATCAAAGATAAGCTTATTGGTAAAGTATTATCAGTTATACATAACTGTATTAATAAGATATATATCATAAGTTTACACTTTATTTTATCTGTTACTATGAAGCGATCATTCTGCTTAACTAAAAAGGTATCCATAAAGTTTTGAAGAAAAGATGAGGGAAAATAGCTATCTCCATTTGATATTAATTCACACGCCTTTTTTTTTTCAGTTTCGCTAAATTTATATATTAAGAATTTCCATATATTATTTTTGTTAAAAAAAGAATAATGTTGTATTGTTGCAAAAGATAGATACGAATTTAAAATAATAAAAAGGGTTGATAATTGTGGTATCGTTAATTTCTTTTTAATTGATAGTGATTCATTTTTATTATAATATATTAACGTTTTATAACAGATAGGATGTATTTCTTTTTGTACTGATTCTATATCAATATTTTTATTTAATATATTTAAAAATAAAGAATTCTCAAAGCGTTCGTAAAAATTTACCAGAAGTAAACTTTGTAAGGAAAAAGAATTTAAAATGTTATTATCTTTTCTATTCTTAATATATGGAGGTATGTAAAAATCTTTTTGAATCTCTTTTTCTTCATGATTCTCAATTTTATTATGTTTTGCACTTTTTAGTATTTTCTTTTCTGAGGTGAAATCTTTTTGAATTTCTTTCATTTGTTGCTCCTCTTGTAAGGGTAAGGTTATTTTTATTTCATCTTTAAAGTTTTGAATTTGAATTATGTTTAAAATATATAAAAATTTTGGATACAAATATAATAAATAATATAATAATATAAATCTATATTTATCAATAATTTTATTAGAAAAATCTTTATTTTCATCATTCCACTTATAATTTAATAAATAATCATTAACCTTTAATTGCATGTTTTCTTCTGTTACATTATTTCCATCTATTATACTTTTATTATTCATTATGTCATTTTTAATTGAATTCATCAAACTTTCATAAATTTGATTTATATTATAACTCATGTTTTTCAAAACAAATTGTTTAGATGGATCATAGTGTTCATAGTGTTTGCTTAATAACAAATTTAAGGAAACATCATAAATATTTTCATAATATGAATTAATTAATAATCCATATAAATAATCTTTTATTAATCTCATATGATTTTTCTTAAAAAAACTGTTTTTATAAAAATTACTATAGTTAAGTAATTTAAATTGAAGTCTATTTATCCATTTATGGGAATAAATTTCATTCCTTACAAAATTAGAGTAAAATTCTTTCTTCTTTTCTTTTTTAGAATTTACTATATACGTTGTTAGTTCTGCATAATTGTATATATCTATTTTATATGTTTCTTCTTCTATATTTTCATCAATAACAACTATGTATTCATTAATTGTGTTATTACTTTTACTATTTATATAATTCTCAACCTTATTAAAATTTTGATATACTCCATTTAACTTTTCTTTTTTTTTTAATACATGTTTTATATTTTTGTATTCATTATAATTTTTTTTAATATTTTCGTTTATGTTATTTTTTAAATAATCTATAGTATTTTTATAAATATTAACATATTCACTATTGTTGATACAATATATATCCAATTTCCTATCAGATATATCGTCCACTTCTATCTTAAAACCTATACATTTTGAGTTAATTAAAGGATGTATAATAAAATTCTTTTTTAAATGTAGCATATTAGATTTTTCTAATATATTTATTTTATTATTAGTATTTGAATTTTTATAATTTTTTCCTTTTAAATAGTTCATTAGATTTTTTACTTTTCCGAAGCTATTTTTTATATCATTATCACTATCATCACTATCCAGTACAATTGCTATTTCTTCATTTATCTTGTTTAAATAATTTTCAAAAGAATTACAATGCACATTATCATTTTTTCTATTGTTACATTTATAATTTGCAATGTAACGATATTTATATATATTACAATCCCATACATCGTCTATATATTTATCATCAATATTTTTAATTTTTTTAACATTCATATATTTTTTATTCATTCCATTAAATGATAAAATATCATCATTGCTACTTATTTGATTTATTAAGTAATCATTATTACTTATTTTCTTTATATTATTTCGTGAATCTAAATATAAAAAATCGTCCGAATCATCATCTTCTTCATTTTTAATTATTTCTATAGGCTTTTTTTTTTGCAAACGGCTTTCTCTAGTAATGCCAGTTTTATCTGTATATAGTAAATTATAAAAATTAAAAAATATTTTATCAAAAAATACATTTGAATAATTTTCATCATTAATAATATTGGGTTTTAATACATCATAAAAATCATCACTAAAACATAATATATTTTGATTCTTTGTATCTTCTAAATATTTTTTTAATTTTTTGAAACTTAAAAAGTTATTATTCTTATATTTATTAAAAATAACATTTAATAAATTATATCCTTTACTTCCTTTTTTAATTCTCAATAATAAATCATTAAAATTATCTTTTAAATAATTTGCATGTAAAATATGACAAAATATATTATTTTTCGTTGTCATATATATATATTTGTTTTGATGATAAACAATATCATAATCAACATTAATTGGATTACATTTTTCCTTATTTATAAAAATATGTGTCAACAGATTTATTTTTTTATTAACTTTGGAATTTTTTAAAATTAAAGGATAATTTAAATTATCATAAATAGTTATATAAAAAAGTATTTTTATGTTTTCTTTACAAGATTTACATGTTTTTACAGAATTAGTACAATCATGTGGAATAAATAATTTTTCAATATTTTCCTTACTTAAGCTATTATATTTATTTTTTTTCTTTAGCATTTTTTCAAAGAAAATATCGTGATTATTGTAACAATAATTTAACATATTATATCTTAGTATTCTATATAATATTCTTCTTTTTTTTTTTTTAATATAACTTTTATTATACAAATAGCAATTATATAAATATATTTTATAAAAAAGGGTATTAATTTTTCCTATTTCCATATTTTTGCAATGTTTATTTAACAACTTTATTTGCAATATTCTTTTTTCTCTTTTTTTGGAATTTTTTACAATTTTAATTAAGTCTCTTAAATAAGATGGATATCTATTTAGTAAATTAATTTTTGTTTTTTTATAGTTATTTTCAACTTTATATTTTTCTGTTTTTGTACAATTATCTTCACTTTTTATACTTATTTTTGATTCATTATTTGATAAATCATCTGAGTTATTCATATTATTTTCATTTTTATTGTTTTTAAAATTTATTTTTTTAAGACAATTTTTTTCTATAACAATTTCCTCTTCACTTGAAGTATAAATTTCACTGTCATCATCATAATCAAATAAAAATTTGTTATTATGGATTAATATGTTATTATCAATTAATTCATTTAGTAGACTTTTTTTTTTTTGTTTTTCATATAATTTGTTTTTATTCTTCTCACTACTACTGAATGAATTATCAGGATTTATAAAACTTTCATTATCTTTATTTAAGTCTTTTTTTAAAAATAATTCATTTATTTCTTTATAAATTATTAAATATCTTTCAATAATTTGTAAGCATTTATCATAAAATACGTCAAAATTACAATTCTTTTCATTATAATCATAAAGAAACTTATCAAGATTATCTTTAATTAATTCCTTAGATTCATTTTTACTTTTTATTACATCTTCTTTTAGTTTTTTTAAATCTTTCAGATGGTTTTTTAAGACATTAAAATCGTATTTATCTTCATAATCAATAAAATTAATATTATTTTTATTTAAACCTTTTTTTAATGAAACCAAAACAATACTATCTTTTCTATTCATCCTTGCCATTTTAATTTTTTTTTTTTTAATATTTATTTTCTATTTATTTCTTTTTGTTCTTTTTCTTTTTTATTTTTACCTTTTTTTTTTTTTTTTTTTTTTTTTTTTTTTCTTTTTTTTTTTTTCCTT